ACATTCTGAGCACAGGAATGACATGGCCTGACCTAAGTTTTTAAAAAATTACTCAGGCTGCTATATTAAGGGTAGACTAGAGAGGATTAAAGGTGTAAGCAGGGAAGTCAGATAAGACAATATTGCAGTAATTCAGGCAAAGTTTGATACTGGCTTTGAACAAAGTAATAGCAGTGGGAGTGGTCAGATTCTGGATATACTATGAAGGTAAGACAAATCAAATTTCTTGATTCATTGGGTGAATGGTAGGACAGAAAAAAATATAGTCAAGAGATTTGAATACAAGCAACTAGAAAGAAGTAGTTGCCATCTTATATGGAGATGGAGAAGGCTAAGATGGGTGTGGGGGACTAAAGTTCCATTTTGGTTATGTTGAGATGTCGAGATGTCGATTAATATCCAAGTGGAAATGTTGAGTACCAATACGGATTTTTGATTCTGGAGTTTGGAAAATAGGTCTAGGGAGTCCTTTGACTCATTCAATGATATTTACAGCTGCAGAACTAGGTAAGAACTAGGAATGAGTGTGCTTGCTTCATCAACACACCTACTAGGACTAGAGGTGAGTGTAAATATAGAGGAAGACTTAGATTTGAGTTCTGGTGCACTCCAGTGTTGGAAGGTAAAAAAGAAGGAACTGGCAAAGAAGATTGAGCGAACACAGAAGAAAATTGAGAGAATGTGTCTTGGAAGACGAGGTGGTCACCTATGACCTATCAAAAGTTGCCAGTCAATCAAGTAAGATGAAGACTAAGAGTCAACCATTACATTTAGCAACCAGAAGTCACTAGTAACCTTGAAAAGAGCACTTTGAGTGGAGCGGGCATAAAAGAGAATGAGAAGAGAAGAAATGGAGACAATGAATTGAGCAATGTCTAACAGAGGAAGTGAGGCCAAGGGAAGGTTTTACGTGTCTTTTTTTTTTTTTTTTTTTCATGGAAGAGACAATAGTGTGACTTGTATTCTGATGAGAATGAGCCAATAGCAAACAAACAAGATTACATAGTAGAGAAGGGCAAAAATTGTTGGTGCCTTGTCCTTAAGCAAATAAGAGAGAGGAGATGGGAACTAGTTGGACATGTTGAGGGATTGACTTTTACTAAAGACAGTATATGTGAGTGCAGATGCTAGTAGAAAGGTATAAATGGTATGGAATGTTAATATTAGAATATAGAAATTGATCTACACACACATATTTTTTCAAGACGGGGTCTCACTCTGTCACTCAGGCTGGAGTGCAGTGGTGTGATCATGGCTCACTGCAGCTTCAGCCTCTTGGACTCAAGTGATCCTCCCACCTCACCCTCCCAAGTAGCTGGGAGTAATGATGCATGCCACTACACCTGGCTAATTTTTTGTAGAGATGGGATTTTGCCATGTTGCCCAGGCTGGTCTCAAGCTACTGGGCTCAAGTGATCCATCCCCTTCAGCCTCGCAAAGTGCTGGGATTACAGATGCAAGCCATTTCACCCAGCCTTTTAAAAATATTTTTAATAAATGTTACCAAATTGCCTTCTAGAATGGTTATACTAATTTTATATTCCCAACAATTTTTTTATTTTCCTACATCCTTATCAACACTGCATTGTGCTCTCTTTTTCAATCTGAAAGGAAAATACTATATTCCCTCCAGCCTTTACAGCTTCAATTCTGTCCCAAACCATTTATGTCCACAGACCTTGGCTGGTTTGCAGAGAGACAAGAGTGGGTTGAGTAACCTGAAGTAAAAGAACGTCAGCAAGTCGCAGTACTCTTCACATAACTGCGTCTTCCAATGATGACTGAAGACATTCAGCCTATACAGTTGTCAGCTAGCTATCACATTCACTGAGGCACTTGAGCAAAGTGAGGTAGTTTCCTATTTCAAAAGTATTCATCATTCTACTGTTACAAGGTCAAAATAGTATATTAATTACTGTCTTAACCCATTTATGCCTAGTGTTCCATTATTAGGACGCTAAGCTTGTGGGAGTTATTTGTATCCTGTTGCTCAAGGTCATCTCCAAGATCTGATTTTTCACACAAAAAAAATTGCAACGTTCAGCATAAATGGGTTAATACAGATGTGTCTGACATAGTCCAAAAGGCAGGACATATATGCCAAATTGCAACATATTAATACAGAGACAACAGTTATGATTCTAGATAATGCTTCTTGATGATAGATTATCCTGTCCTTTACAGATTTTTTTTCCCCATCGGGCAGTTCTTGGCCTGCTTATTTCATCTGTTGCTACAGAATATAGGACCTTTACTTTCCCCATAAGGATATCAGCATAAAAAGGCCCCAAAAGTTTTCTCACTTTTACCTTGGCCTTCCCAACAAACACAAAACCAGTGAAAATTACCAAAATTACCCTAGCTCTTTCATCACATGGGTATACAGTGCTGTTCTTTCTTGGGAAAGGGAAGGAGAGAAAGTGTCTAACCTTGGTTTAAATTGAATTTGAGGCAAAGGTAGAAAAACAGTGGTTTAGAACTGTTCTTTCCTGGAGTACCTGACTTTCTTAGACATTGATGCCTTTGCGCTTTATCTATCCAGAGTACACTCCTCTTTTTCCAAGTCTGTGTGGCAACTTCAATTATCCTTCAAACTTAACCTGTTCTGTGAAGCCTTTCCTCTGCCTTCCTGCCAAAGGAAAGTTAGCCTCTTTTTCTGTTCACATAACATCTTGACATACCTCTCCGATGGCATTTGTCACAGTGTATGGAATTATTTATTTACAGATCTATTTCCCCCAACAGACTGAACTCCCTCAGGGCAGAGATTTTATTTTATTCATTTGTTTATACCAACACCTCACACATAGTAGCTGTTAAATAAATGCTGTCATATTGAGTTGAATCTTTATGCAACTATTATATCTCTCTAAGGTGAGTTACAATGAGATCATGAAAGAGGGTACAGTATTTGATATGGAGTAAATTACAATATATGCTTCAGCCTTCTAGACACTGGTTTTGTCATTCAGATATATAAATTATAAGCAAAGTCACATGGACTTCTAAGGCTACACAGAAGAAAATGTGCATATAGAAATGCTCCACATACATGGAACAGACCAAGGCAGATCAAGAAGAGGGAACTTTTACCCTGCGCTGGTCCTGTGTTTCATGCTCTGCTAGAAGTATTGGTCCTTCTTAACCTCTTAGTACACATGGGGTTACCATAATATATATATGAGTCAAGCTTCAAACCAGGAAAAACAAGCACAATAATACTTTTGGAATGTATAACTTATCTTAGAAATTAGACCTTATATAATCTTAGGCAAAGATGGGGAAATAGGGCCAAAGCGGGGAGTTGAAGGTTCAGGGGAAAAAAATCACCAATCGGCCCTCCAGAAATAATGGCATAGTTGGAATTTGCAGGGAAATCTAGAAACCAGGCACATTTAGGTGCTAGAGTGGAACTATGAAAGGATTAGGGGTGAGAAGGTAGCTAGTGTTATGGTATAGAAGTCAGTAGAAGGCTGTTGCCTCTGCATAGCTATTGCTTCTGTAAGTGTGCTACCGCCTGTTTGGTGGTGTGCTTGGAGATACTGGTCAGCAGGGTTGGTAGTTCTAGACACAAATAGAACAAGGAAGCACAAGGACAAAGTGAAATCGAGCAGCATTTCTACCTCTTACTCTCACCACCTCTAACCACAGCAACCTTCAGAAAGTCATGCACTCCCAGCATCCAAATCTCGCACAAATTTCTCTTTTGGCCAGTTGTAGCCCACAACCATAAAGGGAAGTGGATTCTAAGAAACTTAATTCTTGTTAGCTAAGTTGACACGGTATAAGCCACTATATTATACTTCTAAATTTTGTAAATTGAATTTAGTTTCAATTTTAGAAGCAATACTCATTTGACCAGGAAAAAGCAGAGGTAAGAAACATATATTACTTTATATTTTTTTAAAGCATTATCAAGTATTGCCTAGTAACATACTAACTAGCACACATTTCAGAAACAAATTATTGATTGTAAATGCTAACTACTACAGAAGATTTTAAGGTGATCATACAAACATTTCTTTGTCTTCTGATGGTCAACACAGAATTTAAGTACAATTTTTAAAACATGTCTTGAGATCTTCCGAAGAAGGATCTAAGAAGAAAAAGGAAGTAATATTTACTATACACTGCACCAAGAACTTCTGTGTGTGTTATTTCATTGAATTCGTATACCAAACCTGTGAGGCTCCTAAAAGTGAAGTAACTCAAGATCAAATTCAATCAAATTCATATAAAAGGTTAAAAATTTGCCGAGAATTTAGGGTAATTTACATCTCAATCAGGTTATCTTTTTCTCTTGACTTAGTTTTATCCTACTTTTTAAAATTTTTTACTGACAGGATAACGCATAAAGTAAAATGAACTAATCTTTTTTTTTTTTTTTTTTTTTTTTTTTTTGAGATGGAGTCTCACTCTGTCACCCAAGCTGGAGTGCAGTGGTGCGATCTCGGCTCACTGCAAGCTCCGCCTCCTGGGTTCACGCCATTCTCCCACCTAAGCCTCCCGAGTTGCTGGGACTACAGGCGCCCGCCACCACGCTCGGCTAATTTTTTGTATTTTTAGTAGAGACGGGGTTTCACCATGTTAGCCAGGATGGTCTCGATCTCCTGACCTCATGATCCGCCCGCCTTGGCCTCCCAAAGTGCTGGGATTACAGGCGTGAGCCATGACACCTGGCCAAATGAACTAATCTTAAGAGTACAACTTAATGAATTTTCACATATCTATGTATATATCTGTGTAATCACCATACAGATAAAAATATAGCACTTTTCCAATATCCTTGATTGATTTTTCCTTGGGCCTTTTGTACTTCCAGGTAAATTGCCGTATGTATTTATATTTTTTATTACAATGAATTAAAAAAATTGTTAAAAATATGCTGGGAGGAAGTGAACATTGGCAGTAAAGTAAGAATGTTAAATAGTGTGTCCCATAACTGCTTTGAATGACATCTACTTATGTCACTTTCTCTTTCTGCTTTTACCCTAAAACAGGTAATCAGATCCTGTCCCTTGGGAGCCTCTCAAAAGATCAGATTTATCCAATGAAACTCAAGGGCATCTCCATCTGCTATTCAGCTCTCAAGTCTGCCTTGTGTGGAAATTATGTCAGCTTTGGCGTCTTCAAGTTGTATGGGGACAACCATTTTGACAATGTACTCCAGGCCTTTGTCAAAATGCTGCTGTCAGTGTCCCACAGTGACTTGCTAGTAAGCAATCATGCATCATGGGAGTCTTTTTATGAAATGTGAAGTAACACCACCACAGGCCTGCAAGTGTTATAATGCAGTCCAGGGAGTTAGCCTAGAACATTTTATGTTTTAAGACAGCATACTGGATCTAACTTACAGAATTTGGAAAACTATAGTGGCTTTTTTTTTTTTTTTAACATCTCTGCCTGATTATGCAGAAGCCAATATGTGCCCAATGTCGTCGCAGTAATTACTTAAGTAACATAGCCAAATCATGCTCAGGCTTTGTTCAGGCTTTCCCACCTGCTCCCGCCCAAGGTTACGAGTAAAATCTGGAAGGCCTTTGTTAGTCAACCTGTGTAAGAAATGCTCCTTGATCTCCTAGTGGGCTAGTCCATCATCTTCCACCTTTATAAACTAATCTTGGAATGGCCACATCTCAAGCCAAAGTTATTAAGCTTCCTTGTAGTAGAATGGAATGATCATTGAAGGATATATCTGTTAGACAGAAATTACAAAATAGAAACTTGAGTTACATCAGCCATATGTTAATATCACCTCATCGAATAGTTACTTCACTGCAGTTAAAGTCCACCAAGGCAACTGGTATGGTTCCAAGAATTTTTCTCTAATTTTTTTATTCTAATAGTCAAGCAAACCTTCAATCCAGTAATTCTCAAACTTGAGGGTGCATAAGACTCTCTTAACTTGTGTGTTAAAAATGTACATTTCAGGGCCTAAACTAGAGCTTGTCATTTAGTGAATCTGAAGTGGGAATCAGGCAACTGCATTTTTGGCAAGCACCCCAAGTGATTCCTATTGAGTTGCTCTTAACATCACTTTAAGAAATGCTCCTCTGGTTTCTCTCTTTTTTTTTTTTTCTTTTTTTTTAGAGGTGGGGTCTTGTTGTGTTGCCCAGGCTGTTCTTAGACTCCTGGGCTTAAGCAGTTCTCCTGCCTCAGCCTCCCAAGTAGCTGGAATTACCAGCAGGAACCTCCATGCCCAGCTTCTCTAATTTATCACACAAGTGTATTTCTTTGATACTGGTTTGGATTGCATTTGAGATTTTTCAGGTATCTTTCTCATGTACTTATCTTTTGCCTGTAGTGTATGGTAAATATTAAGCCCTTTACCAAGTTATTATTTAGTTAGATGGATTAGCATTATATTAATACAACAGACTGTGGTGCCAAATCCCATTATAACAGCAAATGTCTTTGTGTTTAAAAAACCAACAAAAAAAGGTTTCCTAGCCACTGTTAAGCACTATTCAGTGTTAAGTATTCCAATCCAGAAAAATAATTCACACAGTCTTCTAAATGTCATATTGCAGGGATTTTACTTTTAAGTGCTAACCATGTACGGTAAAGAGATCAAGAGATTCCTATCAGAACCCCTTTAAATGCTGGATTGGGACTCATTTATGTCATTTGCTCTATATATTTATTGACCTTGTGTTTAAATAAGTTTACAATTTCCAGTATTATAAATGACAATTTTCACTGGACTGTAACATGTATTTTTCTTCCCTGTGGCTTGACATTTAGTATGTCTCTGTCCTGTAGCAATACCGGAAACTGAGCCAGTCTTACTATCCACTCCTGGAATGTCTCACTCAGGACCACATGAGCTTCATCATCAACTTAGAGCCTCCTGTACTCATGTATGTTCTCACATCTATCTCAGAGGGACTCACTACTCTTGGTAAGGATCATAGAGGACATTGTTTCCATAGGAAAAACTTGAGTATAGGCTTTTAATGTATGTGATTATTGAGACTATCATCCTACAAAGGGGAAACGATATTGTGAACCCAAACTGAAAGGTTATTTTATAACCATTACTTGCAAGTGGGAAAAATTATTTCTTCATATTTTGATACATAGTCAGTTATGTTTTCATCAGCTTTACTGAGGTATAATTTACATATAATAAAATTCACTGATTTTAAGTGGACAGTCCAATGAGTCCTTGTACAAATGTGTACATGTACACAAACATAGCCACCGCGACCAATGTGTGGTATATTTTCATCACCACTAAAAGCTCTTTTTTCCTCCTTCTAATCAATCCCTTCCCCCTACCTCTCACCCCAGGGAACTAATGCCTGCTTTCTCTCACAATAGTTTGCCTTTTCCAGAACTACCTATAAGTGGAATTATATAATATGACATTATTTGTGTCTGGCTTCTTTCATTTAGCATAGTGACTTTGAGATTCATTCACATTATTTTGAAAATCAATTAGTTTATTCCTTTCTGTTGCTGAGTATTATTCCGTTGTATGGATTATTAGTTTGTTTATTCACCAGCTGATGGACATTTGGGTTGCTTTCATTATTTGACTATTTTGAATACAGCTATTATGAACATTCATATACAAGTATTTATGTAGGTAAATTTTTTTTATTTCTCTTGGATACATACCTAGAAGTGGTATTTCTAGGTTATATGCTAAGTGTATTTTTAACATATAAGAAACTAACAAACTGTTTCCCAGAGTGACAGTGACAGCATTTTGCTGTCAACAACAGTATATGAGGATTCCAGTTGCTCTGTATACTTGCTAACATTATTAACATCTTTTTCATCTTACCCATGATAGTGGGTGTGAAGTAGAATCTTCAAGTTGACTAATCTTTTCTTCTGTGATACCTAATCTTCTTTTAATACTGTATTTGGGGCTGGGCACGGTGGCTCAGCCTGTAATCCCAGCACTTTGGGAGGCTGAGGCAGGTGGATCACCTTAGGTCAGGAGTTCAAGACCAGCCTGGCCAACATGGTGAAGCCCCATCTCTACTAAAAATACAAAAAAGTTAGCCAGGCCTGATGGTGGGCGCCTGTAATCCCAACTACTCGGGAGGCTGAGGCAGGAGAATCACATGCACCCAGATGCACCCAGGAGGCATAGGTTGCAGTGAGCCGAGACTGCACCATTGCACTCAGCCTGGACAACAAGAATGAAATTCTGTCTCAAAAAAAAAAAAAAGATTTTAGCTGAGCACGGTGGCTCGTGCCTGTAATTCTAGCACTTTGGGAGGCCAAGGCGGGTGGATCACCTGAGGTCAGGAATTCAAGCCTAGGTTGACCAACATGGTGAAACCCTGTCTCTACTGAAAATACAAAAAATTAGCCAGGTGTGGTGGCACCTGCGTGTAGTCCCAACTACTTGGGAGGCCAAGGCAGGAGAATCGCTGAGGTTGCAATAAGCCAAGATGGTGCCATTACACTCCAGCCTGGGCAACAAGAGCAAAACTCCATCTCAAAAAAAAAAAAAAAAGAACTGCATTTGTTTTCATTTTAGACATTATATTTTTATTCTCTAGAATTATTGTTATTATTTTTTAAGACAGAGTCTCACTCTGTTGCCCAGACTGGAGCACGGTGATATGATCTCATCTCACTGCAACCTCCACCTCCCAGGTTCAAGCGATTCTTGTGCCTTAGCCTCCCGAGTAGCTGAAATTACAGGCTTGCACCACCATACCCAGCTAATTTTTGTATTTTTAGTAGAGATAGGGTTTTGCCATGTTGGCCAAGCTGGTCTTGAACTCCTGACCTCAAATGATCCGCCCACCTCGGCCTCCCAAAGCGCTGCGATTACAGGCATGAACCACCATGCCTGGACTTCAATATTTTAATATTGAATTTTTAAATATTTTCCATTTTCTCCTCATCAGGTTTATGTTTTTTTAACATTGATCATATGTATAAGAGTTATAATAGGCCAGGTGTGGTGGCTCACACCTGTAATCCCAGCACTTCGGGAGGCCAAGGCAGGCAGATCACAAGGTCAGGAGATTGAGACCATCCTGGCTAACACAGTGAAACCCCGTCTCTACTAAAAATACAAAAACAAAATTAGCCAGGCCTGGTAGTGGGCACCTGTAGTCCCAGCTACCCAGGAGGCTGAGGTGGGAGAATGGCATGAACCTGGGAGGCAGAGCTTGCAGTGAGTCAAGATCACGCCACTGCACTCCAGCCTGGGCGACAGAGCAAGACTCCATCTCCAAAAACCAAAAGATTTCTAATAGCTATTTTAAGGTCCTTGTCTACTGATGTGATTTCTGGATCTGTTTCTATGGATTTTTCTCCTTATGGGTCATGTTTTTTTCATTCTTAATATAACTTGTTATTTTTGAATGTGTGCCAGACATCATGAATTTTACATTTTGAATTTTCTGTGCTAGATTTTGGTTTTTATTTTTTGGAGACAGAGTTTCGCTCTTGTTGCCCAGGCTGGAGTGCAACAGCGTGATCTCGGCTCACTGCAACCTCCATCTCCCGGGTTCAAGTGTTTCTCCTGCCTCAGCCTCCCGAGTAGCTGGGATTACAGGCATGCACCACCACGCCCAGCTAATTCTGTATTTTTAGTAGAGACAGGGTTTCTCCATGTTGGTCAAGCTGGTCTCGAACTCCCGACCTTGGGTGATCCTCTCGCCTCAGCCTCTCAAAGTGCTGGGATTACAGGCATGAGCTACCACACTCGGCCAGTTTTTATTTTCTTAACGTGGATTTTATTCTATCCTGCAGTTGAATAACTTTTGGATCAGTTTGACTCATTTGAGATCAGATGGCAACTCTTATTTTGGAGTAATTGGGCCCCACCACTAAAGTGTTAGCTCTGTGAGGACATTCCGGTGCTCCATGTGCTATGAAGTTCCTCCACAAATGATTTCCAGCTTGTAATCTTCAAGAATTATTTGGCCTATTACTTTTCAGTGGTTCTTTCCCCAGCCTTGGGAGTTTCTTCTCATACTTTTTTTTTTTTAATAGATGGAGTCTCTCTCCGTCGCCCAGGCTGGAGTGCAGTGGCGTGATCTCGGCTCACTGCAGGCTCCGCCTCCCAGGTTCAAGCAATTCTCCTGCCTCAGCCTCCCAAGTACCTGGGATTATAGGCATTTGCCACCACACCCAACTAATTTTTTTGTATTTTTAGTAGAGACGGGGCTTCACCTTGTTGGCCAGGCTGGTCTCAAACTCCTGACCTCGAGTGATCTCCCAAAGTGCTAGGATTACAGGCATGAGCCACTGCGCCTGGCCTCTTCTCATACTTTTATAGGTCACTGTTCAGACAAACACTGGAGAGGACTCCCTTGGAGATCTGTAGAACTCTCTTACATAGGTCCCACACTCTGGTACTCTGTACTACAAGTTTTAGCTGCTTTAGCCTTCCCAGATTTCAACCTTTTCTTCTCCAACTCAGTGAGACTGCTTGGCTTTGTTTGGGTTTTCCCTTACTAGCCTGCAATCTGGAAACTGCTTTGGGCAATAAGCTTGAGCAATTGTTTTCCTCCTCTCTAGTTTAATGGTCCTGTACTGCTTGTTGTACAATAATTGAAAACCATTGTTTCGTATAATTTGTCCTGTTTTCTAGTTGTTTGGCAGGAGGGCAAATTCTCATAGCAGTTAATTCTTCATGGAATAAGAAGAAATTCTGTCTTCTATTATTACAGTTTAGCTTGACATTCTTTTATCTCACATCATAGTAATACTTGAAGATTTTGAATTATTTGCAGGTAGCTATGTTATTTTCGACATGTGATCTTGTTAAGACTTAGAATCTGCATTTTAACAGACTCTCAAGGGCGTCTTGACGAAGTGGCCTTATGAAAGGAATACTGAACTTGGATTTAAGTCCCAGCACTGCCACTTACTACTTGTGTGACCATGGGCACATACTCCATGCCTGCTGCTGTCATAGGTGACTCATGTGGATACTTGACTGTTTTCATTCTCAGAACCATTTGTGTACCAAAAGCAGGTTAGGTACTCTAAGAGCACTCTTTATTCTTATTTTCTCCTTATTTTCTAGTTTATTCTTACTTTCTACTTGTAAGTTTCTGAAGGGCAGGAACAGTCTATAACTACTTTACTTCCAGTTCCTAGCATTATAGTAAGTGCTCAATAAATATTTACTGAATGCATTAATTAGGTAATATTATTTTCATTGTACAAATGAGGTAAGCTGTGGCTCAGAGAGGTGAAACAATTTGCCTAAGATCATAAAACTAATAAGTGAATGACCTAGGAGTCATTCAAACTCTAAAACCCATTCTTCCTGACCACACTACCCTGCTAGATCTACCTGATAAAGGTCACAGCTTTGACAGCTAGAGGCCTGGTAGAGATTATTTTCTTTGTACATATTGGTGGTTTTATCTTCAGACTCTTGTATTGTTGCAAATTCACATTGTAACCACTGGATAACTCTGGCAAGTGAATTGGGCCCTGTGTCATTAAGAAAGGGGACTATTTAGAATGTTGAAAGTAACCACTTGGATTTTTCCTTTCCCAACAATGATACATTTTAAAAAGAGGAATTTATTGGTATTGTTTGGATTATAGGCAGGTTTCATTTCTGTTGTTGCCTTGATGGAAAAAATGAGGAGGTACAGAAAAGTTGAATCAGTGATAGAGTGATGACTTGCCTAATATTGCGAAAATGATTTTTAAATTTCAGTTAATTTCATTCATTAGCATTTTTAATTTCATGCTATCTTTTTAATCATCCATCCATTCTCTGCCCACCCCAACCCCAAACTCTTATACACAGACACCAAGCACAGTGTCTTTAAAAATCTGCTCTTACTGATGGCTCTGAATTCCTTCATTCAGTAATTATCAGTTGTGCATATACTATATACCAAGTACCTTTCTAAACCTTGGCAGTACTGAAGGAAACAAGACAGATAAGATTTCTGCTCACATGAAAGCTTGCATTCTAGTGGGAAGAGACAAGCAATAATTGAACAAGCAAATACACATACCAAAAAAATCAAATCATTATATGCACTAAACAAAGAATTAAAATTGGTTGGTGGAAAAAGAATAAGTCAAGATGGCTGACTGAAGACATCAGACACCTGCTGTCTCCTGAAGGAAGAACCAAAATTATTAATAGATAATCTTATACCTCGAATAGAACACCTAGAAGAGAAGACTAGAGTCCTACACAGAACTCACAGGAAACATTCAAGGCACAGAAAGAGAAGGAAGCAAGCAGCCAGCTCGGCCAAGATTGGCCAGAAGCCCAGAGAGGCTCAGTATTGCAGAGAAAAGGGTAAATGAGAGAACTTAGGCAGTCCACATGCCTGCCACAGACTACTGCAATCCTAATCACATGAAAGCTTTTCTACCCTTATGAACTCTTAACATTAGCATGAGCAGTGATTTGAAGACCCTATAAAGGCATTGCACCAGCCAGGGAACTTGTGCTGGGTCACTCACCCTTCTAGACCTGAACAGGTACAGCAGGGTGCCATTTGAGGAGTGCAGCCATCATAGGACTGCATCTGACCCTGGTAACTACAGCCCTTGTATCTCCACGTCCTGAGAATTCCTGCTGACATTCCCCGGTGTCCACCCAGAGAGCTGCACTCACCCAGCCTGCACCACTCAAGACCCAGAGGGTCATCCTACCACTCCTACTTCCATCACCCACGCTACATGGGCCACCCAAGGACCCTAGAATCTGCTCGCCCACCCAGCCCACCGCTGCTGCTACCAGCATATGTGCAAGCCACCTGGAGGCCCGAGAATCAGCTTGCTCGTAACTGCCAACACAATGGGGCACAAAGACAGGCACATTCACCCTGGGGCACAAAGACAGGCACATTCATCCCACCATTGTCATGACTAGGGCCTGAAGACTGAGATCTACCTGGCTTCCCAGCTCCCAGCACAAATTTGCCACAGCTTCCACTAATAACTGCACCCTAACCCTCCAAGAAAATTATAGAGAGCACTAATTCTACTTACAGCCAAAGAAATAATATTACACACTACACTACTGCATACATCCAGAATCAAAGCCAAAGTGCACTACCCAACCAATACCACAGATACTTCTTCAGGAAAAATGCCTCCCCTATGAAAGTAAATTCAAAAATAAGAAAAAGCGACTGTTAAACTGGATGGGCAGATATCAACATAACGCCACAGGAAACATGAAAAAGCAAGAAAATATGACACCATCCAAGGAACACAGTAATTCTCCAGCAACAGATCTTACTCAAAAAGAAATTTTCAAAATACCAGATAAAGAATTCAGAATGCTGACTTTAAAGCAGCTCAGTGTGTTATAAGAGAAATCTGAAAAACAATACAAATACAATTCAGGATATGAATGAGAACATTACCAAAGAGATTTTAAAAAAATAAATAAATAGAAATTCTGGAACTGAAGAATTCATTGAGGGAAATACAAAATACATTTGAAAGCTTCAACAATAGGCTAGATAAGGCAGAAGAAAATCTCAGAACTTGAAGACAGGACTTTTTCAAATAATCCAGTCAAACAAAAAAAATTTTGAAAGAATAAGAATGAACAAAGCCTTCATGACATATGAAACAACATAAAGTGATTGAATATTCAAATTGCCAGCATCCATGAGATCAAAGAGACAAAGGATTAGAAAGCCCATTTACAGAAATAATAGAAGAAAATTTTCCATTTATTACAAGAAATGTAGACATTCACATACAGGAAACTCAGTGATCCCTAGGAAGATAAAATGCAGAAGGGTCTTTTCCATGGTACATTATAGTCAGAATATCTAAAGTAAAACTTAAAGAGCAAATCCTTAAAACTGCAAAAGAAAAGCATCTAGTTACTTACAAAAGGAACCCCATCAGGCTAACAGTGGATTTCTCAGCAGAAGCTTTACAGGCCGGAAGACAATGGGATGATATATTCAAAGTTCAGAAAGAAAAACTGGCCAAGAATACTATATCCAGTAAAATTAACCTTTGTAAATGAAGGAGAAATAAAGTCTTTACAAGAGAAGCAAATGCTAAGGGAATTTGTTTGCTACCACTAGACTGCAGCCACAATAAATGCTCAAGGGAGTCCTAAACCTGAAAACAAAGGATGACATTTACCATCATGAAAACACGCAAGAGTGTAAAATTCACTGGTTAAGCAATCACACAAAGAGAAGAAAGGACTAAAATGGTACCACTACAGAAATTCACCAAACCACAACAATTAGTAAGAGAAAAGGACAGGAAAAAAGAATATGTAAAACAACCAGAAAACAATTAACAATATGACAGGAACAAACCTTCACATACCAATAATAGCCTTGAACATAAATGGATTAAATTATCTAGTTAAAAAGATATATAATGACTGAATGGATTAGAAAAAAAAACTTGATCAAACTATATGCTGCTTACAAGAAACTCACCTTAGCAGTCAACACATATAGAGTGAAAGTAAAGAGATGGAAAAAGATAATCCACACAACAAAAACCAAAAGTGAACAGGAATAGCTACCCTTTTATCAGATAAAACAGACTTTGCATCAAGAACAAAAGGGGGAAAAAGACAAAGAAGATCATTATATAATGATAAAGGGATCAATCCAGCAAGAGGATATAACAGTTCTAAACAGGTGTGTACCCAACACTGGAACACCTGGATTTCTAAAATGACTAAATTTGAAGAGAGACACTACAATATAATACTAGTGGAGGACTTCAACGTCCCACTCTCAGCATTAAACATCATCTAGACAGAAAGTCAACAAAGACACTTTGCATTTAAACTGGACTTTAGACCAGATGGACCTAACAGAGCTACAGAATCTACTCAACTACAGAATATACATTCTTTTCATCGGAGCATGGAGCATTCTCTAGGATAGACCATATGTTAAGCCACAAAACAGGTCTCAACAAAAATTTTTTTTAGAGACAGAGTCTCACTTTGTCACCCAAGCTGGAGCACAGTGGCATGGTCATGGCTCACTGCAGCCTTGAGTTCCCAAGCTCAAGCAATTCTCCTGCCTTAGCCTCCCAAGTAGCTGGGAGTACAGGCGTGTGCCCCCAGGCCCAACTTTTTTTTTTTTAGAGACGAATTTTTGCTTTGTTGTCCAGGCTGGTCTCAAACTCCTGGACTCAAGCAATCTGCTCACCTTGGCCTCCCAAAGTGCTGGAATTACAGGCATGAGCCACCGCACCCAGCCCAACAAATTTTTAAAAATTGAAATCATATCAGGTATCTTCTCAGACCACAATGGAATAAAACCAGAAATCAATACCAAGAGGAACTTAGAAACTATACAAATAAATGGAAATTAAACAACTCGCTCCCAAATAATCACTGGGTCAATGAAAAATTATAGTGGAAATTTTAAAAAACTTCTTGAAACAAATGAAAATGGAAACACAACATACCAAAACCTGTGGGATATAGCAAAAGCAGTGCTAAGAAGTAAGTTTGGCCGGGCGCGGTGGCTCAAGCCTGTAATCCCAGCACTTTGGGAGGCCGAGACGGGCGGATCACGAGGTCAGGAGATTGAGACCATCCTGGCTAACACGGTGAAACCCCATCTCTACTAAAAATACAAAAAAAAATTAGCTGGGCGAGGTGGCAGGCACCTGTAATCCCAGCTACTCGGGAGGCTGAGGCAGGAGAATGGCGTGAACCTGGGAGGCAGAGCTTGCAGTGAGCTGAGATCCGGCCACTGCACTCCAGCCTGGGCAAAAAAAAAAAAGAAGTAAGTTTATAGGCCTGAGCGCCTGTAGCAACAACTGCAGCAGCGGCCCGGCGGGTTCGGTGGGCGGGGCTGCGGTGTGAGCAGGCGGCCCGGCTCCCCTCCTCCTGCGCCCGCCCGGCCACTGTGATTGGGTGGAAGTTGGCGCTGGCCAGATGGAAAAACTAATGACAGTCTCCAAATTCACCTCCATCTGTACCATGGGCGCCAATGCTTCAGCATTAGAAAAAGATTGGTCCAGAACAGTTTCCGGTCAATGAGCACTCTTTTGGATTAGTCAGTTTGGGGAATACCTGCTACTGCAATTCAGTTCTTCAAGCACTTTATTTTTGTCATCCATTTCGGGAAAAAGTTCTTGCATATAAGAGTCAACCTAGGAAAAAGGAGATCCTTCTTACATGCTTAGCAGATTTCTTCCATAGCATAGCCACTCAGAAGAAAAAGGTTGAAGTAATACCTCCTAAGAAGTTCATCACAAGATTACAGAAAGAAAATGAGCTTTTTGACAACTGCATGCGACAAGATGCCCATGAGTTCTTAAATTACCTACTGAATGCAATTGCTGATATTTTACAAGAAGAGAGAAAGCAGGAAAAACAAAATGGTCGCCTACCTAATGGTAATATTAATAATGAAAATAATGACAGCACCCTAGACCCAACGTGGGTTCGTGAGATTTTTTTCAGGGAACATTAACTAGTGAAATCAGATGTCTTACTTGTGAAACTAGTAAAGATGAAGATTTTTTAGACCTTTCTGTTAACGTGGAACAAAATACATCAATTACTCACTGCTTAAGGACTTTCAGCAACACAGAAACTCTATGCAGTGAATACAAGTATTACTGTGAAGAGTGTCACAGCAAACAGGAAGCACACAAACAGATGAAAGTTAAACTGCCCATGATTCCAGCTCTACACCTGAAGAAATTTAAATATATGGATCAGCTTCATCGATATACAAAACTCTCTTACCAGGTAGTTTTTCCTTTAAAACTTCATCTATTTAACACTTCAGGTGACACCACCAATCCAGACAGAATGTACAGCCTTGTTGCTGTTGTGGTTCACTGTGGGACTTATTTGTAGATTTGCTTCATATGAAAGTATGGAGGGTGTGTGCAGCCTCATTGTCAGCATTGGTCCTAATCGAGGCCATTATATTGCAACAGTTAAGAGTCATGATTTTTGGTTGTTGTTTGATGATGACATTGCAGAAAAAATAGATGTACAAGCTATTGAAGAAGTCTACGGGCTGACATCAGATATCTCAAAGAACTCTGAGTCTGGTTACATCCTTTTCTATCAGTCTCGGGCCTGAGGGGGAACCGTGATAAAGAGTTACTTTCTGCCTCATTTCTTCTCTGGTTATTTTGGAAAGGATCAAGCACTGATTTTTCCAAGAAAAGAGAAATGCAGGAAGCTCATGGGGCAGTAGCACACTTTGCACACGATAAAGCAAAGACGATGGATTGACAAGCCCTTCCCATCATGGTAGTTGATTTATTTGCTCAGGTATCATGCTGTCTGTACAGTTCCATTCAACAAGGAGGTGAAATCAGAGATACCAGCTCCTCTTGTAAAACAGCCTTCTAGTCATTGTCACGCGTTTTCTCTTTATTAATTGTACCAATAATGCTGTGAATTCCTTGGGGGTGCAGTAGAAAGAATCGGAATCTGTGCTGTATTGATAAGGAGCTGATGTCGAACACACTGCATACATTTGCCTGGTTCAGTGTGTATAGAAGCATATTCGGTGGTCTTTTCGAGAGTAAACCAGAAATACTTTTGGGCCCAACACTTGCAGTTGCCTTCCTGATGTAAAAACTAACATGCTAGATAATCCAGTGTCGGGAAGACAAAGATGTTTTGCTTCTCTGAAGAAGCTTATAATAATATATGTAGGGAGCAATTGGTCAAAAGTGGCTTTTTGTTTCCCCAAGGGGAAAAACTGGCTTTGCAATCATAATTTTTTCCTTATTTATTTTACTTAAAACTGGTAGAGTCTAAGTATTATATGAAGTGCCCATGATTCTCTCAGTAAATTTGAGCATATTTTTATTAGTTAATGTCAGTTTAAGTAGTCCTTTTGTCTGTTTCTATTTTTAAGGTGAATTTTAAATTCTATCTGAAATCAGTAAGATATCTTGAGAAAAACTGCAATGAGAGGAGGTAAATATCCTTTTTCAGGAGGAACTGATATCTCTGGCCAAATCCTTTTATTTTGGTTTCTAAATCACTTATTTTCTTCAGCTTTAGTTTCATAAAATTAACAAACTATAAAGAAAAATTCCTGACCAGGCGCGGTGGTTCACGCCTGTAATCCCAACGCTTTAGGAGACCGAGGTGGGCAGATCACGAGGTCGGGAGATTGAGACCATCCTGGCTAACATGGTGAAACCCAGTCTCTACTAAAAAATACCAAACATTAGACCGGAGCATCAGGGATCGGAAATCGCGCCTGTACTCCGCTATATTGGCGAGGCCCTGGGCGGCGAGAAATCACTGGAACCCGGGGCCTGGAAGGTTCACAGTGACCAGAATCCTGCCACTGAACTCCAGCCTGCGGCCAGAGCAGAAGCTCTGTCATCAAAAAAAAAACATTCCGTAATTGATTAGGAAATAATCTAAAATTCTGGTGCGTGCGTGGTATACACCCAATCTTTAGATTCTTAACATATTACTACATAGTTTCAAGATAAGCAAGGTCTATGCATTGCAAATCAATGTCATCCAGCATTTATGTTAATTTTCCAGATGCTCCATTTTTTTACACGACCTGGCAGACGTATAAATCGATATCATCTACACCCATAGCCACGATTCTGGATAGTGACGCTAAAACAAAACCACTTTGAAGATTAAATTTTATACAAGTACGCACTAGAATACAAAAAACAAGTCCTTCCTCCCTGTTCCCACCTACCAGCTTTAAGATGCCTACTGGAAGGGTGTTCAGATCATTAAAATTTAGTGTTTTGCTAAGACTTAATTCTGTTGGCGCGGTTATTAGAAGTAATATATGTATAACATACACATGTATGACAAACTATTGCCAGATTTTTTCGAGACTTTTTCCTGCATCAGTGAAGCTTGTAAGACAGTTAGCCAACATGTAACATATGCCGAATATATCGACATGCTTATATACACGCCTACTCCAGCCAACTCAGCAGCCTTCAGAGATGTTCTTCACCTCACTCAACACTCCTTTTCGGCAGTAATCATTAAAGCAAAAAAAAAAGTCTGTCATTTTCATACAGTGTTTTGCTAAACTGTTGATATCCGGCGCCCCAACAACAAAAAGGAATATTTTAAGTCTCTGCTGCCTGTTATTAACATTCATATATAATCGTGTATCATTTCTGGCTCAGGAATGACTTCACTCTCTCTTTTTCTCCTAGCAGCCTTTAACAGGGTCACTTAGTACATTGGGAACTGCTTAAACAGAATGTGCTAGGGAGAAAATTCACCTAATAACTTAGTAATTTGTGGCCAGACCGTGGTGCATCGGCTGTAATCCAACACTTTGGGAGAGGCCGAGGCACGGCTGATGACCAGGTCAGGAGATCCAGACACTACCTGGGAACTACACAAGCGTGGAAACCGATACCTACTAAAAAATAACAAAAAAATCAAGTACTGGGACGTCAAAGGTGGCGAGGCGCACTCAGTAGTTTCCACAGCTACTCGGAGAGGAACTTGAGCAGGAGAATAGGCGTGAACCCAGGCGAAGCACGCGCCCGCGCCGCTCGAGCGCGAAGATTGCACCACTGCACTCCAGCCTGGGCGACAGAGTGAGACTCCGTCTCAAAAGAAAAAAAAAAAATCAGTGTTTCTGCTAAATATCGAAAGTATTTTGACAAGTTTCTCTTAAGATAGTTTATAAAGCCTTATCCTGGCTAGAGATGTTTTGTACAAATTATATATAGCCTGCCTGATCTACCAGTACGACACAGAGAATCACAATCAACCATGTGGGGAAAGTCAGGACAGTAGAAGTGGAGGTACGCTTTTTATTTTAAGGGCTTAAACCAAATTGTCTTGAAATTAAAGCTGTATTTCTGCAGCTTTCAGTGCAGAGAAAAAGAAGAAAGTGAAGCTGTGTCAGTTTTAACATTAGCTATATCACAACATGTTTAAGAAAGATAGATGAAGTCATTTGCATAAAGGTACAGCATTGAAATACTATGTTGTGTTTGTTTTTACATTTTTGCATTTAAAAAAACGTGCAGTAAAAGCCAAGTTAAATTTCATATTAAAGCAAGTTCTAGTATATGTATTGAGTGCCTGGTAGTCACATACTTTGTTCACATCACACCATACTTCGTAGTATGATTTGTCAGGGCAGGGACTGTGGGGTGACAGTTTTACATTTACTTTTTCTTCTTAATGCAGCTGGATCTAAGTAAAATGTTTTGAAGTTTATCAAAAACTCAATATACTTGTAAAACATATAGGGTCAGGGTTGGGGAAAAAAATACAGGTATAGTAAGTAAGAAAAGTGACCCATGAAGAAAGCGTTGTGTAGCTGTATGTTGGTTGTGATTAAAATGAGGGACTGGTTTAAGTTGTAAATGGTGGCTGATTGCTATGTAACTATGTACATGATTGTTGGGATGGCTGTCCCATATTTTGTATATTGAAATAAATTCTATAAATTATTTTAACTAAAAGTAAATATTCTAAATTAAATCCCACTTCTTCAGTCACATGGCTTCTGTCTTGGAAATTTTACCTTTAAAAGATTATTTAAGACAGGAACCAGGCTTGGGAACAGGGACAGAAGGAAATGTTGTATTATGTGGGTCTTGGGGCCTCTAACCATCAGTATAGGGTTTTTTCTTTCCTTGATGGCAGTAGAAAGACCTCATTTTCATAACATAACTACTCTTGATACTTTCCTTAAAAACACTTTTTATTAAAGATTCTATCATGAGGTATTTGGGAGCTGAGAAGCTAAAGCGCTTGTGTCCTGGCTCTTCAGTAAATTTAACTGTGTGACCTTGGGCAAGTCACTTAACTTCTCTGTGCTTCAGTCTCCCTGTCTTTTAAAATGGGAGTAATACCTACTCGTAGGGTTATTGTGGGGATTCATTAGAGATAATGTCTGTAAAGCATTTAAGGTTCTTGAAGAAGGCTCTATGTAGATACAAAATAATATCTATTAAAGTTGGTTTATTTGTGGAAAAAAAGAAGGAAGTTTATAGCAATAAATGCTAATATCCAAAAAAGTGGAAAGATTACAAATTAACAATCTCACAGTGCACCTCAGGGAGCTAGAAAAGCAAGGAAAAACCAAACCCAAAATTACCAATAGAAAAGAAATAGTAAAGATCAGAGCAGAACTAAATGAAATAGAGACTAAGAAATAAAAAATACAAAGGATCAACACAACAAAAAGTTGGTTCTTCTTCAAAAAGGTAAACAAAATAGGTAAACCACTAGCTAGACTAACCAAGAAAAGACCCAAATTAAATCAGAAATGAAAAAGGAGATGTTACAACTGATACCACAGAAATATGAAAGATCATCAGAGACTGTTACGAACAACGATATGCTCACCAACTAAAAAGCCTAGAAAAAATTGGATAAGTTCCTGGAAACATACAAGGTTCTGAGATTGAACCAGGAAGAAATAGAAGACCTGAACAGACCAGTAACAGCTAGTGAGATCAAATCAGTAATTTAAAAAAAAAAAAAAAAATCCCAGCAAAAAAAAAACTCAAGACCAGATGGATTCAAATCCAGACGTACAAACATACAAAACCAAATATACAAAGAAGAACTAATACCAGTCCTCCTGAAACTGTTCCAAAAAATTGAGGAGGAGGGAACTCTCCCTAACCCATTCTGTGAGGACACTATCACCCTGATACCAATATCAGACAAAGATGCAACAAAAAAAGAAAACTACAGGCCAGTATGAACATAGGTGCAGAAATCCTCAACAAAATGCTAGCTAATCAAAGCCAACAGCATATCCAAAAGATCATACACAATGATCAAGTGAGATTTATCCCAGGAATGCAACGTTAATTCAACGTGCACAAATCATTAAATGTGATACATCACATCAACAAAATTAAGGACAAAAACCCGTATCAACATCTGAATAGATGCAGAAAAACTGTTTGATAAAATTCAGCATCCTTCATGATAAAAACCCTCAACAAACTATGCATAGAAGGAACATACCTCAAACCAATAAAGGCCACGTATGACAAACCCACAGCCAAAATCATACTGAATGGGGAAAAGTTGAAAGCATTCCCTTCAAGAACTGAAACAAGACAAGGATTCCCATTTTCGCCACTCTTATTCAACATAGTACTAGGACTAAAAGTCCTAGCCAGAGCAGTGAGGCAAGAGAAGAAATAAAAGGCATCTGGATTGGAAAAGTGAAAGTCAAATTGTCCTTCTTTGCTGATGATAGATCTTATATCCAGAAAACCTAAAGATTTCAAGAAACTTAGATTTGATAAGTGAACGCACAAAAGTTACAGGATAGAAAATCATTGTACAAAAACCAATAGTATTTCTATATACCAATAATGATCTGAGAATGAAATCAAGTAGGCAATGCCATTTACAATAGCTATAAAATACCTAGGAAGCCAGGCACGGTGGCTCACGCCTGTAATCCCAACACTTTGGGAAGCTGAGGTGGGCAGATCACCCGAGGTCGGGAGTTCGAGACCAGCCTGACCAACATGGAGAAACCCCATCTCTACTAAAAATACAAAATTAGCCAGGCATGGTGGCACATTCCTGTAATCCCAGTTACTCAGGAGGCTGAGGCAGGAGAATCGCTTGAACCCAGAAAACGGAGGTTGCATTGAGCCGAGATCACTCCATTGCACTCCAGCCTTGGCAACAAGAGCAAAACTCCATCTCAAAAATAAAAAAAATAAATATATACACATACACACACCCCCCTAGGAATGCATTTAACCAAGAAGGTGAAAGATCTCTACAAGGAAAACTACAAAACACTGATGAAAGAAGTTGAAGATGACACAAATAAATGGAAAAACATCCTATGCTTATGGATCAGAAGAATTAATATTGTTAAAATGACCATATTGCCCAAAGCAGTTTATAGATTCAATGCAATCCCTATCAAAATACCATCCTTCTTCACAGAATTTTTTTTTAAATTGTACAATTCATATGGAACCATAAAAGAGCCTGAAGAGCCAAAGTAATCTTGACCAACCAGAACTAAGCTTGTAGGCATTGCATTACCTGACTTCAAAATATATTACAAGGCTATAGTAACCAAAGCAA